CCCCCGACCCTGGCTTCCTTTTGTTCCACTTCGTGCTATGCGCGCCGTCGTTTGCCGCCATTGGTTCCGCATATCGCGCCCTTATCCTCAGACATCCACAGGCGCGAGCGAGCGAGCGAGCGAGCGCCCTATTAACCGCGGCGCTTCGGTCGAGATCCGAAGTTTGTTCAATTAGCTACGGCATCTACTTCGCTCAGAGTAAATATCTGGGGAAAATTGCGAGACTGCGTTGCCGCGATACTCGCTACTCCCGTGGCATCGGGCGCGCCAGGTCGGAGGGAGTCAAGTAGCCGGACGGACGGACGGACCGGACGACCGAGCGAGCGATCGCGTCGCCGGCAATGGGAGGGCACTAATTGCGCCAATTACTCGATCGTGAAATTTCGAGAACAACGTAATCTCGGATCGTTTTACGGACGGAGATGGACTAGGGATTTCTGTGTGAGATTTTTCAAAGCGCCTTTCCCTCCCCCCTCCATTCTCTTTCCGTCTCTCTTTCGTGCAGCGAGCGAGCGAGCGAGGCGTAATCGAAGTTCCATAACGGGTTAAGAGGAAACGAAAATATTGACTCGCGTTATTGTTAGCAATTGTTAGCGATTAACAACGCGATATACCCTTAAGATCCGCATTGTGCCGCGCGGTTCCGACAGTTTCGGGGAGGATTCACGTTGGCCGATTCGGGCGGATTTTAGGCGAGAACTTCGAAACAGCCGTTCCGCGATTTAGTCGTCGTTGTTGTTGTTGGTGTTGCCGTTAATTGCCGGGGATTAGCTGGCACGGAAAGGGGGGAGAAAGTGTGCGGAAAGGAGAAATTAAAATCGCGGAACACGGAGAAATATTCGCAGCAGCGAGGAACGCTGTTATTTTATTTATTTTCTCCGTTCCCCCTCCCCCTTTTTTCACCCCCGTTCCTTTTTCCAGATAAATTGGAACGTAGATTGACTGTAAAAAAAAAAAAAAGAAAAAAAGATCGCACAAAGTACAAACCGTTAAACGGAAACGGCACGTCGGGATCAATGTAAATGTTAAAAGAGCGGAGAGAGAACGCGCCGAAAAGGTCGGGACGCGGGATCGAAAGAGGCGTGTTATCCATTGGGTTTTACGATTATGCAATTTATATTTCGCTCTCTGTTCTATCTCGGATTATCAGGGGCAACCGAATTGCTTTAACCCAATTCGGGCTACATCCACAAAAGAATACTCGCGGATAATACGAATGTCGAACGTTTGTCAAATGCGATTGCCAGTGTAACCGGTATGAATGTAATACGCGCATATGTTGAAGTCGACATAATTCCCAGCACGCGCGCACGCACGCACGCACGTACGCACGCACGCATACATCCATCCAATTATTAATTCCTATATAAATTCATAATCATGACATAACGCATATTCCACCGAATTACCGTCGCTTTATCTGCATTACAATTACTTGTAATTTGCTCAAAATTGCACGTGGCTCGATTCGAAGCAGTTAAACTCGTTCGACGTTGGGTAAAGCCGGCCCGTGCGCTAACAACACATTTCAATGGCAATTTTGGAAACTTAATTTCCGGAAAAACAGGATTAAACGGCAATCGTAACGTCGACAGCAACCGTTGGACGACCTTTTCGCACGAACGCGACCACGGCTGAAACGACGATCAGCCGACGACACGGCACGAGAGTCCCCCAAATCGCAGGCCGTCACGACTCGAGCGAAATCAGACGGCACTCCAGGTAGAACGGAAAGTGACGATGGCGCGAAAGGGACGTCAAAATGACGAGAAAATGACCGTAGAAGCTCATTTATCGATCATTCCCCCCTCATTTTAACGTCATTTTAACGTCATCGTCATTTTCTGTTCTAAATTATCGTTATTTTCGGTGCCAACTATAACCTTTTTTATAGTTTTAATCATAAAAAATAGCAGCAAAACGTAAGGTTACTATCACTAACATTATAGTAACACTTATTAGAACATTTCTTTTCCCGACTATAATTCTTTTGCCGTGATGATTATAGTTACAAGTACCAAATATTTTTCTCTCGGTGTATCTGGGACACCGGGAAAAAGATGAGATTCAACGATGCGAAGGAAAGTTCGATAAAAAGGTTAGGTGGAAGCGCGTTATTATTGCAACGCGCGAAGTTTCGTTTAATATATCATCGGACGTGCATAACGCGAGTGCTGATTACGCCGGTTCACTACGATTAATATGAAAAGGGCGAAATTGCGCAAACACGTAATTTGTAATCGGTAATATGAATTATTCGGCGTAGATTTAAACGAGATGAATTTTGCCGAAGAGCGTGACGCCGGTCGGCGACACGCGCCGCGATATTGCGCGATATCTCGCTCGTTGTTTTTCCACGCGATCACCGCGCAATTTGGAAATCCCGTGTCACGTCGCGCCCGCTCGCTCGCTCGCCAAATAAATAGATTATGCAGACGATAGTTGTGTAATATTTGAGCCGAGGGAAACACAGGGCCACCGAAAAATATCAACGTACACAGCGAAAAAGACAACAATCCGTTACACGGATCCGCACCGTGATTCGGACGTGGTAACTTTATCAACGCCGCTATCCGCATTCCTCTAACGAGATCACAAAGAATACTCATGACGAGGGGATTAGAAGTCACATGGGTTAGTTGTCGTAAAGCTTATATCTCACTTAAAGACGTATTGCCCATTATAGTGTCGTATTTTCAAAATCAGTCCTCGTTAGAATATTTCTATTAAATTGATAGCACCACCCGTGTGTTAATTCAACATATTGCGTTTGTGTTATCTCAGTATTTTGTGTCAAGCGTCGATATTCGACGCGTGTTATAAATGTTGAAGTAACACATTTTACAGTCTCGATTAACGTATCAATTTTGCGCTGATTTTTGACGTAATATCCGTGTTACTTCTCAACACACATTCAATTTGTGCTAACGCAAAATTCCCTGCCGTGCATCTTTCCTGCGTGATCAATACGTAAAAAGTGTGACGGTAAGTCGCGGTCTCTCGTGCGGCGCGCGGTGAGGGACGAGGTCGTGGATGCGCGAAGACTCCATTTGCCTTTTACGATCGCGGAATTTGTATCTCGGTCGCGAACTTATCGCCGGACGGGCGCGCAGTCCGGCCGCCCGGCTGAATTATTTCCATTCTTCGGCGCGCAGCGCGCAACAATGCCTTTATGTACCATAAAACCGGTGCGCCGAACGCGCGCTCCGTTTGCTCTCCCTCCAGCGACCGACCGACCGACCTTCCGCTACCTCTCGAACCCTTCGCAGTGGAGGTCCACTCGAAGCCGGCCGAAGTGGCCCCCCCCCCCCCC